TTAATCTGTTTTAGCATGATCTGCATCTGATATTCAAAACAGCAACTCTCAGCTGAACAACCATGTAACTCACCCACAATCATGGACCAGTTGGCACAGAATTACACTAGTTTTCAATCAGCTAAACTGAAGAAATAATATGTTTTATCCAGCTATATATTTCTATAGTATTTAAACAGCAGTTACTGAAATTTAGTTGGTTAGCAGTGAGTTACACAACTTCTACGATGTTACAATGTGTGCCATTTTACAGTGCAACAAGCAATGTACAGGCAAAGAACAAAACTATTTAAATAAGGATGCCTCAAATGAGTAATTCAACTGACTAGTCAACAATGTTAAGATATGCCCTATAAAAACAAGTCCCACTAAATCAGAATGAAGGCACAAATGAGATTTTGGCCATGGATACCATTACATTTAATTGTTTTGCTGTTGGTCAAAGAACATAAAAAGGTAAAATGAAGCCTGCATTATGGTAACACCTTAAGATATAGGATGGATATTTCATTTTTCATCACAAGATGATGGTCTTGTTATTACTTCCCCTTCTACAATATTTAAGAAGTCTAGTATAATTCACTGGGCTATGCAGATGAAGCTCTAAGTTTTGCCTGATGTACCAACTGACATAACAAAATCCTGCTCATGGCAATTGCAAGACAAAAATAGTAACAAAAACAATGATAACTTTGAAGACCTGCATGCCTGAATATTACTGTCAAGTTGAAAAAGACTAAAAGAATACCTGTATCTGTGTCCCTCTCCTATGGCCCTATTCGGGTCCAGATGGACCCAAAATGATAGAAATGGTAATCTAGTCTTTGTTTACAATCAATAAATGTATCTGTTTAAGATTTACCTCTTTCTTTCTAGCACGCTCAGCCTTTATTTTCTCATACTCTTCTTTTGCCTTCTGATTAGATGTTTTCTTCCTACATTTCCCTTCAGTCGTAACTGACCTGTAAGAAAAAGTCACGTACTTCAACTATGGACTATCACCAAGTACACATAACCATGTATCCCATAGCCACTACAGAATCAGAGCACACTCCTCCACGATTTTGTAGTACGTATTTGGGGAAGTTTATTAGAAATACAGGTTTCAGAAGGCCCATCCTTCCACACTGATGGGACACCTATTTGCACCACTCTTACATGATGCCTAACACCCTTACACGTCATGTAACAAGCAGCTCACATGAAAAGACAGCAAACTAAACTTCTTCAATGCCAAGTATACCAAAGACCAGCCTACACACAACTTTTAGGGACCCATATCACTTATCTGCTGCATCTTCACATGGATGATGCTTCATGAAGTTTAAAGAGTGTCTAAAAATTTTCTTCCTATATCATACAAGCTCTTCAGAGCTAGAAAAACTGAATGCACTAGCTTAGAACATATTATGTCTTTATAATTCTGACATATGGATGCACCTGCAGAGATATGAGGACAGCCAGTTGTTAGCAGGCTGCCTGCCAGAGAAATCAGGCTAACATGGCAAGGAGAAAATGCCTCCTTGCAATGCTTTCCTAAAAGTTTTTTCTTGAAGGAGATGGCATTACTATTGTCCTTAATGTTCTGAGATTAGGAACTAAAATTACATTCCCTCAAAATTTCAGTATTAAAAAAACTGCCCAGGTATCTTTCACCAAATAAAACAGTTCAAGAAAACCAATTTTGTTTGCCTGGCATTTACTGACACACTACTTTGAGTGGATTTTTCTTGTTATTTAGTCCCACATTATTTTTTTCTTCTGATTCACAACACCGCCATTACATAAACAGTGTGGTAGCAAAGACATTTCACACTTGAAAAGTACATGCCCTGTTAGATATTTAAGAACTGCTCACAAAGCAAGTTTTTGATGACTCTATTACACTAAAAAATCTGAGAAGTCGCCATTGTCATCTAGGAGATTTCAGACAGACAATCAAAAAGGGAAGAGAAGGTATTTGTTCATACTTTCATTTAGAAGTACCACTCTTTCGGAGAAAAAAGAAAAAACAAAGAATCTTTGCCTTAGTCTCATCTCCATCTTGTGGCAATACTATGTAATGACATTTCATCGTCTCAAGTACCAACCCACTTAAAGTAACAGTATGTGCTAAAAATAGAATTACATACAGTCTTACTTTATATTCCCATAAAACACTGAAGTCTATCTAAGTCTCTACGCATCACACCACCTCAATGATCAGCAGTCACAGGCATGACGAAATATTAATTGTAGATTACAACCACACTGACCATAGTTTAAGTAAAATTAACCCCCCACTGGTTTAAAGAAAAACATCAGGCCTATTTCGGACACCCCCACGAATTAACTGCCTATTCCAGACAAAAACTCTACCTTTCTCTCCCTGATGGGCTTAGATCTGACTGCCTTTACCCACTCTCCTGATTGTTCTTCTCAAGAAAGTTCAAATACAGATACACCTTGGAATCCGAAGAATTAGGACACTCCTTGTACTGAGGATAAAAAAGATTAACTCAGTCACAGTACTTGAATGTTGTTTTAAAACACTGTCAAGACAATGTCAGACCTGAGTGACTACACTTTTCATTTTACTGACATACCTAACCAACATTTCAGGGGGAATTACTGTCACACAGGGAAAAAAAAGGTTTAAGTTGCTGACATTTGTTAGATCACAAGTGAGAAGCTCCACTGGACTTTTCTCAGTTATTATAAGTAAATTAAAAGCCAAACAAATAACCCCCAAAAAACTCCTCACCAATGGCAAGCTATAATGACATTTCTGTTGTTTAAAATTATTACTTTGATAAACAACACTTTACTGCTTTAAGATTTTACTAAATCCCTTTTTTTTTAAAAAAAAAAAAGCTCATAGAAAATTAGCCATGCCATGAAAGTATAATTGCACAAAATACTACTCATTCTAGCAGAAAAACAGTGCAATATAAAGAAGACAATCTATCAAACTGGGAACAACCTTTCTGAAAAGTGGCATTAATTTTAAAATACTCAGCATCAATTCAAAGGAAAATTCTGCAAATGCAAAAGCACATTACCTGAAAGGCAGGCTCTCATCTTTGTAGATATGGTAAGAAATTAGTCAAACATTTATTGCTCTTGGGCTGAACCTTGTCTTTAAAGTACAGTGGTAACCTTCTGTGGACTAAACATCATTCATATTGCTTTCCGATTCTGATTCAAACACAACTAAGCTGTAGGTTCAAATTTTCTAACAAATAAGAAAAATATTTAAGATCTAATGGCATTTGAAGGAAATCACTATACTGAAGTTCATGTAAAGTGTGAGATCTAAAATATTTCTTTAATAATGGAAACAATTACTTGTTCTTAGAAACACATTTAAAAAACTTACTCTACTGCTTCATTAAGTTTTTCTTCTGATAAAAGTGAATTATCTGGAGCCCTGCGCCGCCGTTTCTTGAGCATTTCTTCCTCAGCTAGGTAAAGATGCTTCAAGTGCTCTGGATAAGTATCAGTAAACTGATTATCCTGTTGTGAATGAACCTTCTTTCCCTTTCTCAATAATTTCCTGTATTGTCTTTCGATCTTTTGTTTTCTCCGAAATGCAAATCCTCGTCCTAAAAACATAAGAAAAAGAGTGAAATGCAACTACACTAAAGTAGTATCAAACCATTCAATTATTGTCAGGACCATTTCAATATATTTACTTTACAAAACCAGAGAAACACACTACTTGTGCTAATTTTAATAAGGAGCAGAAAAAATTCAAGGAAAAAACAGTTACAAACCTATCTCCTACTGTAGCATTGCAGCTTGTACAAATTTTCTGAAAATTATTGCCTAAAACCCTTGAGAGAACATGCCATGGTAAACATACTTCTTAATGTGTTCTCAACATGATATACGTTCAGCAATGCTTTTTGAACCTAGTGAAAAAATGCATTAACATTTCACTTGCATTTCACTTCTCTCTTCTTACAGCTTCATAAGCAATATCAACGCAGATTCCTAAAGATAATCTCAAGAAGACACTGACAATAGTAACATCAGATGCTTCGATAGTCTGCAGCTGTAATGCCACAGGAAAGAAAACAGCCTCTAAATCACTGTATTACATTGAATTAATAACCCATCATATCTTTCCATACAAATAGTATTTTTATTGCCACTACTTTCTTTCTACACCTGCCCAGGAAGAGCTCTTCTACACTTCAAAAGAATGCTACATCATAGAATGATTTAGCCCGAAAAGAAACATCAGACAATGGCTGTTTCAGTCTCAATCATTGTACAATGACGTTGAAATCAAACATGTTCTTTTCCTAATATCATATCTTATTTTTATTACATTAGTCTTAAGAGCTACTGACTTTTATAATATTAATTTAAAAACGTTTCCAAAGGCAGCAAGTCCAGATCAGTCCAGTCACTACTTTTCCTTTGATTCTTTCTCCAACGTTGACATTTCAGGAAAGTGCTGCAAAAGCCAATGCTCTGTTTCCTGTTCGTTTTTGACACTTGCTTAACTACCGTTCAATAACCTGAACCTTTTTCCACATATGCTTCTACCTGAAATACGCAGCTCACACTGGACGCCCCGGCCAGCCGTGCAGACGGTCCTCATCCGGTCCGCCACGGTCGAGCCAGCGCGGAAGCACGCGGGAGGCCTAGGGCTGCGCGCAGCGGGTCTGGCCAGTGCCGAGCCTCCCGAGGCGCCGTCTCTCCCGCCGTGACGCCACCTCAGACCCGCCGGGGGGCAGTCGCGGCTGCACCCCCATCCCCAGACTCACCCTCCTGGACACTTCCCACGCCACTGCGCATCAGGTCGGGCCTCCACAGCCGCTTGCGGCGGGGTCCTCGGGCCGCGCCACTGGCATTTTCAGAAGCTGACGCCCCGCGCCGCGCCGCCTCCATCGCTCTCCGGGCGTCGCGCAACGAGATGGCGTCACGGAGGTGCGCCGCCGTCTAAGCCACTCGGTCCTCGATTCACCTGCCTGCGTAGCGGCAGCCCCGGCGAGCCGAGCGCAGGCCCCATGTCGCGGGCGGCCCTCACGCTGCCGCCCCAGCTGTCGCCGGCGGCGGCGGAGAGCACGCTGCGGCGCGTGTCGCGATTCCTGGCGCTCGCGCTGCCGCTGTGCCGCGCCCACACGGTGGAGTTCTACACGCGCGGGCTGTGGGACCGGATGGTAGAGCCGCGCCCAGGCGCCGTGCTCGAGGCGCTGCGGCGCCCCCTGGCGGAGGCTTCCGGCGCCGCGGAGGCGCGGTGGGGTGAGTCGGGGTGGGGCGAGTCGGGGTGGGGCGGGGAGGGGCCAGGGCGCGGGATCGCGGGCCCAGAGGGAGGGGCCCGGCCCGGTGTCGGCCGCGGTGCCGTTGCTCGCGGAGATGCGGCGATCCCCGGAGCTGTGGCGGCGGCGGAGCGGGCTGCTGCTGCGCGTGGGCTGCTGGGGCCGCCTGCGGAGCGCTCGGTGGCGGCGCCGCCATACCCGCCTCACGGTGACGTGCCTCACGGCCCGCCTTGCCATCGCGGTCAGGCCTCCTGTGTTAAAAGCTTGAATAAACACCACCCTGCCGAGCTGCTCTGATTTTTTCTACCCTCTGCCTTCTTGCGGCCACCCCCATGCCGATCCATTACTTTACCGTGTGCCGAAGCTGTTTCTGCCCTTTGGTGACAGTGCTGTCGCCATCACTGCTATGTTGTCGTACCCTTTTCCGGGGTAAAAGGGGTGTATTTGGAACAGGTAAGGTATAGCTATGTTGGGAGGAGCTGCTCTTTAGGAGCTGTCGGTAGTGGCGGTTGTGCTGATAGTCTCGTTTATAAGTTTCATCTTGTTCGTTCAGAAATGAATGTCCTGTCAGGCTCCTTTGCTGCGACCAATTTCTGAAGAACAGAAATAAAATGAACCCCCACAAAAAACCCTTCACAGGAGTGCAAAGATGTAACAATTAAAAGTCTTTCAACTTGAGGCTCTGGAAACGTGGAGGACAGCTGGAAAAGGCTTAAAACACTGCTTATCTGTAATACTGTGTGTCTGGCAGAGGAAGAGAGAAAGCAGTTTTGTTTCTGACAAGACCAATTTAAGAGGCACTTCATATTTTTAGCAATTTTCAAGTAAGTCCAGAGGAAGCCAGCTATGAAACTGTGTGACTGAATTTACTGCAGTTCAAGCAGAAGGGAAACATGCCACTAGTACGCTTTCAGTCAGGGCACAGAAATGAAGATAAAGCATCTGAAAGGAATGGTATTTGGGGGGCTGAGCCCAGGCAAAGAGATCCATTTCAGAACTAAGGTAATAAAATCTCTGACAAAGCACTTAGCTGAGAAAAACCTGTATCATGCCAAAGCTTACAGAGCAGAGATAGCTCTCATGTAGCATTCGCTGTGAAATGCTGTGTTAAATGACATGTGAGACAGGAAAGCACGTTGAGTGCAACAGAAGGGTCCACAGAAAGCAACATGTGGAGCTGTGCACTTTTGGCATAGAAGACAGCCTAAGATAATGATTTGGATTTGGAAAGAGATTGAGGAGCTGTGAATTGCTGCATCACTTGCAACATTTCTCTCTTGTATCTCAAGACCTTCAAAATACTAACTGTAAGACTCATTTTTAAAGGGTTGAGATATCTGGGGGAAAAAAAAAAGAAAAACCCCAAAAGAGTTTATTTGTGCATGAAAAAGATACTGGAGTATGAATTAACTTTGAGAGCCAGATGGAAACAAGACCTTGTTTCAGTCAGCAAGCAAAAGTGTTGGGAAGCAGTGAAGAAAAACTACTAATTTTTTTGACAGGGAATGTCAGAGCTAGAACTGATTCAGATCAACAGGACATAAAATTAAATGTAAATAGAGGCTGGCTGCAAAACTAATTACTAGATGAAGTCATTAAAAAATAAAACACTAAAGGAAAATTACCCTGATTTTACCTTTTTCTATGGGAAAACACATTGAATTATTCAGACACTGAAGTAGTGGCCGGTAGAGCAGGAAGACAACCAGGAAGGCAGAGCATTGTTCTGCAGTTTTTTTAAATTTGAAAATCATTTAATGATCTGTATTCAAAATGCATGTTGCAGAATCTGATACAGAAATTACTGGAACAAAAGACATGATTTACGTATCTTTAAAATGAAGTGCGTGCTTTAGAAAGGTATGAAACTTTCATGTTGTGACCAATATATAACGTTTGTTGGTTTCTGCAGGAATTATTTCTGATTATTGAAAAAAAAAAAAGAATTGCTCTTTTTTCCTAGCTTCAAAACTATTATGTGTTAACATTCAAAAGATTTTGAGACACTCTGCAAGTTCCGTCAGTATTATGACAAAATTGGAGGCAATGTAAATGAATGGGCATGTGCTTGCTGATTTGGGAATTCATTTCTGAGTTATTTGACTGCATGGTATCTGTCCACCCAGTCATATGATGAAAGTACATCATAGTAGAATATGATTTTTTCAGTGAATATAAACACAAACACCTATATGTGAAAATGAGTGCTTGTTAGCCTGTATTAAAAATAGGATTGAGAAATTTACTATCATTATTTGAGTGCATCAATACAACTTAATAACATTAGAGATCAGAAGCCAAGCATTAGAGAGCTTGAAACCCAGCATGAACAGAGTGACTCTTCCTTATATTTCTTTTAAATATCAACTGTATGTGTGGTTGTCCTTCAAATTGACAGATACATAAATATTTGTTATTTATGTTTACCTTGTAAGGTCCTAAAAGGCTCTCATAACATGCTGTCATTCATAGAACTACCTTTTTTGGAGTGTAGCTATGAGCATAGATTTATTTTGCATGCCCAAATGACACTGTGGTAATGTACCCCAAATAGCTTACTCAAAATATGTGGTAAATGACATTTTGATTTCACATGGTAAACACTTTGCTTCCTAAGAGTTTGAGAAGTTTCACATTTATACATTCACAATCTCCAAACTATTATGGCAAGTTTTCTAGAATCTGTTCTATTACAGATCCCAAATTAAATTATAGGGAAACATAAGCTACATTTGACGGAATTGATGTGAAAATGTGAAGTTGTCAGTTCATACTCATACATCTCTGCAAACTAAAAAGTAACATTATTGCAGATTGGCACAAAGCTGTTACTCTGCATGATATTTTATGTTACTATAGGGATTTTGACAAATATATGCTGAATTATAGTTTTAGAAGCTAGCAAGCAAGAAATTACAATTCTGTTGTACAGTATTACATGCAAGAAGATAATCATGCTACAGAACATTGTGTGCTCTGTAAACTAGTTTTAAAGAATATTTTCAGATACTCATCAGATGATATTTCATTATAATGACCATATAAAGGGTGGAACCCTTTTTTTCAGTTGGACCCCATAGATAAATTTCAGATCCATTTTTAGGTAGAAAAAACTTTTATATTTTTATACATCAAAAAGCTGACGTTTGCCATATTGCATCTTGTTTATCATGTCATTGCTGTAAATTGGACACAGGCACAGAAAAATCTGTGGTTTAAGTATTTTCATATTTTACTGTAAATTACTGTTTGTAATTCCAATTTTTTTTGGCATATGTTTCTTTCCTCTGAAGATTTATTTGCAAATGTAGCGACTGACTGATTAAAAGACATACTAGATTTCATCTTCTGAGCAACCAAAGTAGAAACATTTTGAGAAAACTAACCTTTTTAATATTCATAAATATGTAGTCCACAAACTGCTTGAAGTCATGCTTCAGGTACCTTAATATAGTTGGATTTTTCTTTCCTTTTAGTTAGCAAGCTGGGACAACAATTTGTATTTGGTAGGAGTGGTATTACAGATGATTTACTAGTGAGGAAGTTGGGGCTGTTGAGCCTGGAGAAGAGAAGGCTGCGTGGAGACCTCATAGCAGCCTTCCAGTATCTGAAGGGGGCCTATAGGGATGCTGGGGAGGGACTCTTCATTAGAGACTGTAGTGATAGGACAAGGGGTAATGGGTTAAAACTTAAACGGGGGAAGTTTAGATTGGATATAAGGAGGAAATTCTTTCCTGTTAGGGTGGTGAGGCACTGGAATAGGTTGCCCAGGGAGGCTGTGAATGCTCCATCCCTGGCAGTGTTCAAGACCAGGTTGGATGAGGCCTTGGGTGATAAGCATAAGGTGTCCCTGCCCACAGCAGGGGGGTTGGAACTAGATGATCTTAAGGTCCTTTCCAGCCCTAATTATTCTATGATTCTGTGATTCTATGATTATTCATGAGATCCTACTAGTTCTGTTCATGTTCTTCCATCAGATAACTGAATTCGTGGAAGTTGTAGAATGGAAGTATTGCTAAATTTAGTTTCATTTAAGTGAGGTTTATAAGAAGAGTTAATATATGTTATGTCAACCCAAATAATTGACTGGTTTGGGTTGGAAGGGACCTTAAAGCTCATGTAGTTCCAACCCCCGTGCCATGGGCAGGGACACCTTCCAATAGACCAGGTTGCTCAAAGTCCCTCCCAACCTGGCAGGTTCTGAGAAAGTGAAAGCAGACAAGTGAGGGGTTATAAGCTTTTCATGAGTTCTGACAAAGAAGCAGACATGTCCGAATTTCAGTAATCAGTCTTTAACTTAGGAAAGTTATGAAGTTTCAAGAGAAGTTGTATTTTTGTGATATAGTGGGATCAGCAGGCAGTAAGGTGAAAGCAAGATTGGGTTGCTAAATCTTGTGAGCTTTAAATCTGCAGAATATTTGTTTATGCTGTTAATCTTTGTGACCTGTTTGACAGTTAGATAGCAAAAATAAGGATAAATTTCTTCAAGGGTATAGGCTTAATGTTTTCCCATATCAGTAGCAGGGTTGTTTGGTGTAACATGGGTATGTGTGTGGTTGACCGTAGTTTTCTTTTTATACTATAGCAAGTTTGTATATGTAATTCTCATTATGATTATTTTCAACAGTGAGTCTATAAATTTTCTGAAACGCTGTTCATTCATAGAAAATCTAACATAAAATAAATGAGTGAATCTCCCTTAAAAATTAACTGAAATTTTCTTATTCAGCAGTGTGTCAGGGACAATAGATAATGGTCCGTGGTGGAAAACACAAGGATAGAAAAGTACTCTTTTGTCTGCTTTGACTCCTCCCTGGAGAGTCCTGCTTTGGCTGCTCTCTGGAGAGTCATGCTTTGCTTCTTACCTGGAAAGTTCTGCTTTAGAATTCCCTGGAAAAGTCTCGACCCTTGGAGACCTTCCTAGATGTTGCTAGCCACTTCTTCCAATGTAGGCTGGCCCCCTGTGTCAGAATGAGTGTGCATTCTTGTTAGTATAAAAGCCCGAGTCTCATGCGATGCAGGGGAGGCAGAACCTCATACCACCCAGGTCAACGTTGCCTCTGCGGGATGCCCGCTAAGCTTGAACCTGCCACCTCGCACTGCGATGATGATCCTTGGAGCTCGTTTCCTGATCGTCTTCACAGGGTCCTTGGGGTTGGTAAGATATACACTCTTCAGAAGTATCCTTTACTGTATCTGTTAGATTCTCTATATTTTCCTATATTAATAAACTAGTTGAGAGTTCTCTATTTGTCTCTCGTTTTCTCTCAGCTGGAATCTTTGAACTCTGGAACAAGCAGTTACTCAAGCTGTGACATTTTCTTGTAAGAACTTGCATAACATTTACCCAGCAGAAAGCAAAAATACTCTTTGTGTGTAGATATTCACCTCATTTTATGGTTGTTGAAACTTTTTTGAGGAAAAAAAGTGCAAAACAAACAAAACACCCACAAACATCTCCCACTCCCCCAAATCCAAACAATTCCGTACAATGTCCAAAAGCATTTTCTTACCCTATTATATTGGTTTCTTCCATTATTTGCTTGAATTGAAGGTATTGTCAGGAAGGAAATTTGCTTTTTTTCACTCATTTCAAAATGCGCACATCTAATTTTTTCTCTTTCTGTAACATATCTTACAGAGACATAGGAAAGCAAAATTACCCCTTCTCCCTAAAATCTGCAGTCTTTATTCTGGTTTAGCATTCCTCTTTATTTATGTTCTCTAGTATCATTTTACACCTTTATCCTTCATGAAGGTTCACTAATTCAAAGTTACCAGATGTTCAGAAGTTCAGATAAATTGTTTATAGAGAAAAGTTGCTTTCTTTTTGTATTTTGTAGTAGAAGTAAAGTAAGAAGTGCCATGCAGGCGCTGAAATAATATTGATTCTGGTCATAGCTTAGTATCCTTTTTTAGGTTCAAAGTTTGCTGATTTCATGCCTTTTTCATGTAATACAATGAAAATGAATGTGTTGACACTGTTGGAACTGTTTTAAGTAAGTTCTAATAGTATGCATGACCTTTAATTGTGGTCTTGCAAGAAAATTAAGAAAATTAGAGGTGAGGTCAGTCAAAACAGTTGTATCTGTTGTCATGTAGGTGGGTAGGCCAGATTTGAGAAAGCTACCTCATGCTATGTTATGTACTTGCTCAACATCTACTCATGAGACAAAAGGCAAACCAGGAGACATTTTCTGAATCTTTCTAACAGTTTGATTGCTGGACTGGTTAATTTTTATATCTTTGAAAAGAATTACAGATATTCAAAAATTATTAGCAAAAGCATGTGGAATTCACAAATTGTTTTAGCTGCAGTAGATAAGAATTAGACAATAGAAAACAAACTCAGAATTAATAATTGATTCATATCAATATGTTTCACTTAGAAATAAATGTACATTTCAGACACTAAGAACTAAGTAGTACTAAACTGAAGCATTTAATCATGAGTTAAACAAAATATTCATTGGAATTTAACTTTTGCTCACACCTGATCGGTAATAAAAATCATTTATTTAACTCTCCCAGCAGAATCACCAGCTACAAAGCAGCTTGGAAAGCATGTAGTGATTATAAATCAAAATATTTAATACATTGAACAGCTGCATTTCTTAAGCAATCTAGTAGCATGTATTGTCAGTTGGGGATGAGGAGGAAATGTTTTATGAGCAAGTTTGTAAACAAAAGAGAATCGATCATGTTGACTGAATTCTCTTATTGATTATACTAAAGTTGCTCTGTTAATAGGTTTTTTCACATTTACACTGGTTCAGCTACGAGCAAAATTTGACCTTGGTTCTGAAGGGGGAATGCAGCTGAAGAAAAATTGAGTTTTTTCACTTATGGAAGCAAAATAAATGGTTACTTCTGGCTGGTACTAAGTATTTATTGCTTGTAGTTTTTTGTCAGCACTGTTGCAAAAGATGTTAAGCAATATTTACAGACCTATTTCCTTTTCTGTACAGATGATGACACATTTTCCAATGTGTTTTGTGAAAACTCAGAGAAGCTTATCAATGTACATTTGTTTGCCCTCTCTGCTAAGTATTGTTCCTTCTCCAGCCTTGGAGTGTGTACCCCATTAGAAGACATACTTGAAGCACTGAGAGGAGACAGTCAAGGAACAACAGGTATATTTACATCTGTACTTACATTTTTACGTGTTCGCTATAGGACTTGCTGAGTTTTGGGTTTGGGGGGTTTGTTGTTTGTTTTTTGTTCAGTTTTTTTTGTTGTTGTTTTTTTCCCTATATGCTTAACTTTTCATTTGTTCCTTATAAGTTTATTCGTTGCCTTTGTTTAGAAAATGGATTCTCATGCTAAAATTTGAGCAGAAGGGTCACAGCATTCAGTACCTATAGACCCTTCCTGAGGTTCAGTTTTAAAGGCGATGAGATAGACAAGCAGACACACTGTTATTTGAGATACCTTGTTAATTCCTTTTGTTTGCCTTCTGCTTGAGCAGCCCGAACCATGATGTCTATTCTAGTGTTTTTTGAAATTCTCACTGTAAAATCTGGCAAGTAGGTTTTCTTTTGTTTTATGTTAAATGTGTATTTTGGTGTTTAGCTGAATATGGCCCAATAAGTGTTTGATGACTCAAACAAAAAAAAAAGTTATTCATTCTGTATGTTTTGGACTGATACCAATTATATGTCATAAAACTGCAGTAATTTAATTTTCTTTAGTTAAAGAAATTGAATTAAAACAGTCTCAAGTTGGCATCAAGTTAGATACTGGAAGCCTTACTCCTGATTATATTTTTTTTGTATATGATAAATTGGCATTTTTACTTACTTGGGCTTCTGTCACTTTCACTGAAAATGTGTTCTTAAGGGAGTCTTCGGTCTTTGTAGGTCTGTCACTGTCTTTCAGTTTTCTCATTAGTTTTTCAGAGGTGGACTGGGCAGCTTTCTGCCTTCTAGTGTGTTTTACCCCCATAATGTATTGAAACACTGACATTTCGTATCCTAAGTGATAATGCCATTGTATATACTGGGCATCTCTCCTATCTTCAGCAGTTTTTTCTTTCCAGTTTTGCCATTTTCTATGGTTGGCTCCCTAGTTTTTCATTTCTTCAGAAGTACTAAAATGCCAGTTTTAATGGTAATTTTAATGGTTTGTTGTGGGTTGATCTTACTTACTGGCTTCTTTCCTTCTGCAGTATCATCTGAAGCCCTTTTTTCTTATTTGACTACTGTGTGCTGCTTTTCTTCTGCTTGTTTTTTAGCTCTTCATTTTTATTATGCTCTCATTCCCTGCATTCCACTTAATCTGCCATAATTCTCTAGTTTACCTTGTTATATTCATACCTGAGTTCATACCTGGATTATCTTTCTTAGACAAAACTCGAAAGATTCTTTCATCTTGTTGTCATGCAGAACTGAGCATCAGGAATAAGGCAGTTGCTCAATATTTCTGTGTGTTGCAGGAGTGCTGCTCAGTTGGGTAGCTAGGGCCTGGGTTTGTGATGCAGTAATTCTAAGTTCTACTTCATAGAGAAAATAAAATGTCTTCCAAATGTATACAATGGTATTATAATTCAAATCCTTTGTGTTGACTTGGCAGTAAATATCAGTTAAATTAACTTGATTGAAGTTCCTGGTAAACATTTGGCAGAAGCAAAATACCAAATTATGGATTCATAACATGCAAATTTCCAAATGAAAGTTGTGATCTTTTAACTTTAAGCTATTTTAGATTTTTTGGATTTAATTCTGTATTTCCGAAAATGCATTAATTTCCTCACATACCAAAGCTTGCAAGTCAGGAGAGGTGTAAGTCTGAGAAAACTGTAACTTTACGATGGTCTTGCTCATATTCTGAAAAGTATGCAGCAGGATAATTCCATTTATGCTTCAGATGTTTTTAATACATTTTCTTGTTCTAAGACAAGCATGTTTATGGGCCTGTTCCCATAGTTTGTGTACTTGCGTAGTTCTCTAACTTCCTCACCATAGCGCTGTCCTCCCTTGGAATAATTGATAAGCACAAACATCTTATGCATATTGTGGACACAGCTACTCAGAATGGAGTTGTGAGTCTAAAGGACTTTCTCCATTGCTTCTTAGTAAAGGACACTGTTCTTACTGCACCATCGGTTTGCTTGCACTGAGTGAATGTTGTCCAAAAGAGCCTGGCCCAAGGGGAAGAGGCCAGCCAGGAGCATTTCTGTTGTTACACGATTCATATCTGATACAAGAAGTTAGGGTTGTTAGAGTATTGGTTTAAAAGTGCTGTCTACCTTTGCAATGTGTTTATGGCCAAAGTAGTAGTCATGCAATGACTGTTAATAAATCTGTATTTATATTGCATGTGCTGGTATATCAGTCTGCCTCAGTGGTGGGTTTTTTTTAGTATATGATTATCTCAGCCCCTCACTCTTGCTTACGGAATTAAGTCATAGTGAGCTTCTGTATAGGTGGTGTTGTCTGGTGTGGACTCGGAATTTCTGTTTTCTCTGGTGTATCTGAATTTACACAGGTAGCTGGGGTATAAAACCCCAGCACTCTGCCATAGGAGATCTTAGGAAGATGTGCAATAGACATGTATAAAAGAGAGTCTCTCCTCAGTTTGTTCAGCTTCACAACTAGAGATGTAGTTGTAAATGGCATTATAGAGTTGAAGCAGTTTTTCAAATAGAAAACAGCTACCAGTGCTAGGGCTTCACAATGGGAATAAGCAAATTTCAGTATGAACATTAGTAACATTAAGCTTTCTGTTCCTGTCTTATATCCAGGGTACTTCTGTGAAGGATTCAAGCCCCACATTCTTTTTTCATCACAAAAAGATGGATCTCTACATTTCTTATGGATTTTGAAGTTTTTGTTCTTGCATTAGTTGTACATATAATAAGGAAATCTGCATGCATAATTATTTGTTTCAAGAAAGTAATTTTATAAGAGCAGAATGAATTTACACAGTTTATTTAAAAGCAGTATACATTTTTCTTTCAAATTTGCAGTTGGCAGTATAAAACTGTCACCACATTCAGTTTTCTATTAGACTGTAATATGTCTTTTTTTAAAAAATAATGTAAAAAAACCTATCAGAATTTTGCAGAAAATGCAGCAACAATAAAATTGGTTGAAAATCCATAATTTTCTACAAACAGTATAATTTTCCTTGAGCTAAAATATAAACAGAGCTTTTGTTCTGCAAAAGTAGGAGAAGAAGTCTAAAAACAGCTAAGAAACTTCAGTAGCTAAACTGATAAAACCTTTGTATTTGTAGATATAAGCAAACTATGAAATTTCTGCCTGGAACCTCAGCTTTTATAAGCTGGTTTTTGTTTCTGGATTTCTGGATTTCTTGCATGTTTGAAATACTTAATTTGGCTTAGGTGCTCTCTGAAATGGTACTTCACACAGCATTGCCCAATTCAGTCTTTTGAGTTCATGCCTATAGCAAAGAATAAAAGGTGCAATATGTGATGACAGCTCAAAGTGACAGTGCTGCTTCGGACAACAACCAACTTTTATTTCTGTCAAGAACTTATATATCTATTTCTTCCTGTTCCCATTCTGCTGCTCCTGATGATGAGACTATCCAGACACAAAAATGTTCAAATATCAACAAAAAAGACACCTTTTTTCTTTCTTTAAAATTTTTTCCCTTTTTTCCTTTCATTTCAAATGCTTACAAATTCAGAGTTTTTTAGGACACTGATCTTCAGAGTTTTAATGTTAAGCAGAATCTTCAGTGAAATTACAAACACTTGTTTCTGCTGTATATTTTGTTTAAAAGTATTAGTCTATTTTTTCCTTTGTCAATTCATAGAGTCTATATTAGGTTTTAAGTATTGTCATAACAGTTTATTATAAAATAACAGATGTTTAAGAAGTAGAGAAATCCTGTGGGCTTTGGGAAAAATAGAGAAAACACTAGGTTTCTCATGAGCTCAGTTCAATTCCCCACTCTCTTTTAAAGAAGTAACACTCCTGGCTTTGTTCCCAGCATGATCTGATCAAGGACTGAATATGGTTTTTGCCTAATGATCACTTTCTGGACAGATGAACACATACTGTACAAAAAGCTAGAATGGGAAAGTACATTAATCTGCCTAGTCATGTAGAAAAATCTTGTTTTCTAGGAGCATGCTCATCAGTAATAGTTCAGTTTCTTCTGCCATCACTCATACTTACAAAAATTTCCATCAATTTACTAGAGCCAGGTGTACTGTAGTGTTGGTCCCCTGTGAGAATTGTGTGTATTTCTCCCAAGGGAGTGACTTCTGAGATCCATCTCTACTTGTAGAGATGTAGAGATTAGCAAGTGGGTGCTTGGTATTCTTCACAAGCAATAAATCTGTGGTAGAGATTGACTCCAGCTCATTAACACATCCTCCAGAAACGCTGAAATTAGTGATTTTCTACCATAAAGTTATAACAGTTCTACAACCAATCCATAGGGTAAATAAAATAGAAATGCATCTTCCTTTGAATTTCCCGAGCATCATTCAAATTTCACTGAAGATGTCTCCCACTTGATATTGTGAGCAAATCTGCAGAATTAACAAGCCGCACCATGTGATTATCAATTGTCCCTGCTCTTATATTTCATTTATGTAAAGGTAAATGTGAAATAAATACTTCTTTAATGAACAGGAAGTAATAGTACAGTTTTATAGAAGTGGCTATTGTCTTGTATCTGGTCAGATGCTTGATATGCTGCATCTTTTAAAAACTACACTAATAGTACTGAGTTTTAGAGTGTGTAAATCAGAAGTTTAGCCTTGTAACAATTTATGAGTTTTTAATTAAAAAATGCTATGCTTAAAATAGGAAAATAATATAGGCTATTTTTAGGCTGGTATTTTTTCTGATTGCTCACAAATCTTTTTTAATATGGATTATGTTAATGTGTATTTATTAATCTGATACAGGTATCAAAACTGATGAGTTTATGAATAATAAGAAATCACATGAAGTGCAGGTGATGTCAGAGCTGGTAGTCAACATAGCAAATTATTGTGATATAAAGCAGGTAAGAAAGCATTTCTTACTGTATGTTACTGTGTACCTTCCGAATTGTTCTCCTTACTGTATTTGAAATCACCATTTTGATATTCTTTCACTGCTGTTCTTATTTTGCTTGTAAATAATGGTGGCTAAAGAAGAGCCTTTAGGGCCAAGGTTCATCTGATCCAACCTTTCTAGGCAAAGCATGACCTAGATGATCCAGCACCCTTTCCAGCCAGATCTTAAAAGCATCCAGTGTTGGGGAGTCCACCACTTCCCTGGAGAGATGATTCTGATGGCTGAGTGTGCTCTTTGTGAAAAATTTTCCTCTTGTGTCCAGTTGGAATCTCCCCAGGAGTAACTTGTGCCCATTACCCGTTGTCTTTTCCATGTGACTCCTTGTAAAAAGGAGTTTTCTTTGTAGCCATTCTTTAAATACTGGAACATGGTGTTAAGGTCTCTTCCAAGCCTTCTTTTCTCTATGCTTAACAAACCCTATTACCCTGACCTCTCTACATCTTGTTCCCTATTTTGTGCATGGTGTTTGTAATGGGAAAGTGCTAGTTGCCCTGCCTCATAGCTGCACCAGGGAGATTGCTAGAAATCAATGGTGTGGTCAGTCATATTGCCAGAGTACATGGCCGTGCTCTGTTCACTTCAATGGTAGAGGTTAACTGCAGTGTCCCAGGTTGCTGCTACTGCTACTGTAGACTGAAGGGCAGGCCCCAGAACTTGACTTCATCTCTGAGTTGCTGAAGCTGAACTTTGATTAGGAAGTTATTTGGCTCAGACTAAGTTTAATTTAGATAATGGAAATGATGCAGTACACTTGATATGTTTGGGTTAGGCCTGTGGATACTGAGATAAAACTCTGAATCCTGACCGTCTGTTTTGTGAGGAATGACTGACGAAGGCAAAGTTTTAGGCAGTCTTCTCCTTACAACTGGGTTTACAAAGTAAATAGCTGCAATTAAAGCCAAATATTACTGCATGAGATGCAATCAGTTTGTGAGCATCTGCGACTGCTTACAGCAGTGCAAGGCTATTTCTCCATCAGCTCTTTCAAAAGCCAGTGATGGTGACAAGTGTGGGTGCCTGAACAGCCATAACGTGTGTGTGCTCTGTAAAGAACAGATACAGTAGCAGCAGATTTGTAAAAGTAATTTATTCCATCTCTAGCATTTTTTTTTGCCTTGCATACCTTCTGCTTTAGGCAAGCATTAGTTGTTCAAGTGTTGAAGATTTTCACATACTGAAAAAACTGTAGGAGAGTGTTGTTTCCTTATAATACAATATTAAATGTCTGAATTTGCTGGAAGGTGGTGTTTCATATAGTATTTTCATTTAGATTTTAAATAGTTCCTGTGAGATTCAGGAATGAAAGGAAAAGAAAACTCATGTTCAGAGATAAAAAAGTACAGTCGCCTTAATGACCTAACCTAAATCCCAATGTAGCTGGTTACTAATAAAATCTCAAACCAGTCATTATTAAGAATCTGTCAATATACTGCAATTTCATCCAGTGATTATGAACTTCTATCAGATGGCTTGGAGTATCTTTATGCAAAGGATTATTTACTGTTTATTTTTTTTAAAAAAGGTAACATTTAATGAAAGATATTATTGCAATATATCACTGAATATAAAATGCTGACTGCCCTATATTAACTTTTTTCCATCTTAGTCATACACTGTAACAAAATTTATTTGTGCAAAGTTACAAATCCCTAATATATGAAAAGAGCTTTCCAGTTACATTAAAAAAAAAATAAAAGAAGAAAGAAAAGCCTCCTCAGTTATTAAAAAGCAACTCCTTTTGTTTTGGTTACCTTTCAACTTAAAAAAATACAGGAATTGTAAAGTTTTAGGAGAGTTTTTTTCCTTATTGATTTTTTTCTATCCTTCTCACAAAACAAAATATATGCAGCATTTAATTAAAAAATCTAGAGCTATGAAAGCCCAACACATGTTTTACAGCACCATGTGTCCTTAGGGTGTTTCTTTCAGATATTACAGATCACTGACGGCTTGAAAAATGCCCTCCATTTCACCTTTGTACCCATGGTATATAATGGGTGGTAGAGGATATTGCGCTCATGTGGTATTTTATAACGTAGTATAATAAATAGTAAAATGAGAATGAAAGCAAAAAATTTATTGCTACTGTAATCACCTCTAGGTTATTGGTTTGAGTTAAAACATTAAAGGAAACTAGCTAAAGGGTTTTTTCAAATGTTTACTGCCCCGTTTAAGTATCTTTCCTATCATGCAAGTGGAACTTTTATAAAGAAGTTCTTGATTAAACTATGAAAAGAAACCTGTGATGGTGCCTCTTTGCTTCAATGCACATTTGTTTTCTTTAATGTATTTGTGAAAGTTTTCCTTGGAAATCGCAGCATGTGCAGCCGAGTTGCAGTGTGTAATGTTAAGTATGATGTAGTTCTGCATTCAGCAGCCATCAAATTTGTCATTTGGTGCTGGGAAATGTTGGAATGCTCCTGGAAACTGAGTTCTTGATTCCTCTGTGCCAGAAACATTGTTTAAGCATAGTACCCAGCTCACCATGGACAAGACCTTTGGCGTTCATTATATCATGGAAATTTCATTTTAAAAGTTCTTGCTTGGCAGATAGGCTGTGGGTTGCTGATTACCTTATGTAATCAAGGGAAGGTAAAGTGGGGATTAATTTAATGTGGTCTATTTGTTTAGCACAAGATCACCGCCTGCTTATTTTTAGTCAAACTTTCCTTTCTCTTTAAAACCATTCTCCCAGTGCTAATTCAACAGCGTATTACCGTTCCTTTTTACTTGGAACGACGGGAAAAAACCTTACCCGAAGAGCAGTTTGTCTTTACAACCACTAGAGGTCACACGTAGGAGTTAGGAGTAATTCCCTAGCTGAATTGTGTCCAAGTGCAGCCTTTCACAGAAATATGTCAAAACCTTGTAGAATTGGAGGTGTACATATTCTGCACAATAGTTTTATCTGTTACATAAAGTGGGAAAAATTATTCCTTGAACACTTCTCTTTCCCCCACTTTTAAATCTAGGAGAATATTGGTGATAAACATGACAAGTAAATGACATTTTCAAAATGTATGCTTAGATTATATCAATTCTATTTCAGTAAATCCACTTCTGTAATGATTTTGTACAAGAAACTTGAGGATTATAGCATACCTAGATGATAAATACGCAGCGATATTGCATGATGAGTGCAGATGAGAAAGCCATGTGTACCCTGGCTAAACAATTTTTACCTAATAGTGTGTATTCTCCACTGTTTTACATAGTTTTTAGTAACATTGCTTCAGATCTTTCTTTCTAATTTCATGGACATACAAATCTTTAACTTTCTTAGAAAAAAGAATAAATTATTTCAGTAAGAGTATTGCCACACAGTGTATTCTTACCTGGTAAAAAACTGTGCAGTTGAGTTTAAGATGAATTTGTGCAGTGTTTGCTGTTATTTGGACTTACAAATATTAGTGTAAGCTTTCTTATGAATGTGTGATAGACCAAGAACAAGACATAGATGTTCTTGAATCAAACACTTTCAGGAACATTTACAAAAAAGTCATTATATCTAGTCAATATAATTTTGGGGAGATGCCTGAACAGAAGTGAACATTATCATTTTCTTTCCTTAGAGAAAAGTCACTGCCCATTCTTGTAAAATATTTTGTTATATACTTTTTACAAATTAAACCACACATGATATAAAGCTGTGATTATGTTCTTAAAGGTCTTGGGTTAGTCTTGTTTGTTTTCCTTCCTTGTCATATCAATCACTGAACTAGCACGTGCTATCAGCTGTGAGACAAACTAAACTGGCCCCTCTATTCACTCCTTCATCCAGAACAAGAAGTAGAAAGCACATGTGACATATGAGCCCCTTTGTTTTATTACAAAAGCATCCTCATGTTAACCAAAACTATATGAATCATTTTCACAGAAAACGATTAGCAGTAGAAAGAAACATTCTGACATAAAAGAAGGTATCAATATCACCTGTCTTTAGGTCACATCTGAAGTGATTAAGTTAGGTACTGAATCTAAAGATACTTACTTCTGTACACTGAGTGGTAGTAGGCTGCTCAGTATCGGAGTTAGGAGCCTGAAGCTAAACACTGTGTCCGTTTTCTTTGCTAACTCTATATCCTGACCCACTTTAATGAGGGCAGGTGGTGGTGTTGGTGGTTTATGGTTATTTTCTTTTGCAGAAGGAAGTTCGATGTCACAAAATATACGAAAGAGTCAGGACATGTGCATTGCTTAAGCATTGCAGTGTCTGTTTTATGGAGCAAATCAGTTAAGTTCTGTGTTTTAAAGTCAGAAGGTGGACCAACAAAGCAAAATAATTAAGTATACTAGGAGGGATGATTCTAATAAGGTAGCTATTAAATCTATGTTTAAATTCTTACAGGATTATTTTGCATTTGATTGAAGTGTGTCTTGTTGCTCATTAATATATCGAATTTATTTTTTTTTTTATTCCTTCCTTCTCCCTACCGTTGTCTAGGTGATTGATATAGGTTCTGGAAAAGGCTACCTGAGCTCATTTTTGTCCATGCAATATAACCTAAAAGTTTATGGAATTGACTCCTCAAACGTCAACACTAACGGTGCTCATGAGAGGAACAGAAAATTGAAGAAACACTGGACAGCATATCAGAGTCGAGGGAAAGCAAACCTCAAAAGCCAGAGGTTAGAAAAGGCAAATGACAGGCCAGTGGAAAGTGAAATTAAATGTAAAGCAATCAATGAAGAGCCCTTAAATAATGACAGCAGTCTTCAAAGTCAGGACCAAATGGCTATCCAAGATTTAGTTCCTTCCTGTGGTTTCACAGGAATAGCTACATGTGAAATGAGCAAACAAACTGAAGCTGATTTGGTGGCTTGGACACAATCTGATGAGAACAAACTTTCTGAAGAGGTTCTTGCTATTCTAAACATTCTGCCTGCTGATGCTGTAGAAGTTTCTTCATCTCAGTGTAACTGTAGGGAACTCTGTGAAGAGGACAAGGCGCAAAGAAAAATGGCATCTCTCAAGGCGAAAGTGAGCAAGTCAAGTGAATCAAACTTGTATTTTCCATTGACTTCTTGCATCACTGCAGAAACAGAACTCAGTGACATCATCACAGATCTGGAGGTTATTTTACTCATATTTGAATTAGATTGTCTGTTGTCTTTATATTGCCATTTTCATATCTACAGAATATTTCCTGTGTACATGGAATACTATTAGTGGTGTAAATTAATATTCTGCCCCAGTAATGTTTTTCAGCCAGTTAGCAGAAGTATGTCTAGCACATACAGATTTTTTAATATATGTTGGGATTATTTTGAATATGTAAAGCACTCTTTAGAGTTTGTGGGGTAGATAATAATCAGCTGTCAAAGTTAACTATGTATATTAGCACATTCATTTTACAATTGTGCTTATAGCTAGCATCTAACTATTATGAAAAAAGTTATATTTACAAGGTAGATGGATATATGAAACATTGAAATTTCCCTGAAATTTCTTATCTTTTAAGTTTTATATTTTTGTAATTTCAGTTAAACTTTGAAGGCATAGGAGAATTTATTGTGTATAGTCCTCAACATAAAGAGTTTGAAAAGAGCTCTGTTTGCAAATAATGTTTTTATTTTTTTACTTTTCAGAATCACTGTAAATTATTTAGTAATCTACTAGCTGGCAGGGATTGTGGCTACACAAACGAGCACAAAGCTCAGCTGCTCAAAGACTGTGACACAAGTCTAGAAGCTGTATGGCTGTTTAGTTCCTGTGCCTGAGCTAACACATTGATGGGGTAGATACAGTCAGTCTTTTATGGAAAGATAAAAACCTGTCTGTGTTCAGTGGTAACTGAACAATTATATTCAGGGGTGTAATTAATCTCTGTTTCAAGACTATAGGTTCATGCTGATGGTCCTATAACTGGAGCTAAGAAGTCATATTGATTATCTGAGAACGTGTGGAGCAAGTTCTTGTCTGTCTGCAAAAGCCACCCTGAGCAGCAGGGTTTGTTGGTGAAACATATACATTTGCACTTGCACGGTTGCATTTTGTATACTCTTAGTATGTAATTTGCCTAATGTAGAAGATATCACTGCCTTTATTAAAAAAAAAAATACTGTCAGAAAAAGCAAAAGGTTCATTGTGTTAAAAAATAGTAATATCCATACCACATTATGTGTGATGAAGGTATGTGGTTAAAACCCTTTATAATGTGCAAGAATTTTCATGTTTTAAGATATTTTCACAATTTTTAGAAACGAATTTTTTTAGAAATAGTTTTACAAATATTTTCCATTTTTTATTAGAACCATAAGTTGATGGGGTTTTTTTCTCAAGTTTTCCTAAGCTAAGGACAAATGAGGAATGGATAAAATTAGTAATTACTGATTTATGCCATAAATTCTGAAATAAATCTGCGGATGAAATATGGGTATAGGAATGCATGTTTGTATATAGCCCAGGACTAATATTAAGATATCAAATCTTGCTATATATAAGCCAATGATCCAGAAAGTACTTGCAGTTATACCTAGGCAACCTCACTGAAGTCAGTAATGGTCTCAAAGTATACCTGCCACAGTCAGGCTGACCTATTGTTCAGAAGTTTTGAGCACTGTAGTGCTTCCTCTATCTTGCATGCAGTAGCCATCTTCCACTAGCTTTCTCCTGAAAGAATCTCTCGTAACTTTTCCTGGCCTGGGATTTAAATGCTGCCCTTGCAAGTGCACATCTTCCCTTAGCTTCCAAACTTTAGCGTTGAAAAAAGATTTGTGGAATGGTGAGCTGAAGCTGACTGATAGGGAAAAAAATCTTTAAAAACTAAAATGGACTGAAACTGAACTTTTGCCGCCTAAAAATGTTGTACAAAGTGAGGGCAAGCACAGAGAAGCAGAACAAAAGGTGTGAAGGGGGGCAAGAAGAATTGAAAAAAAAAAAAGGAAAAGGGAGGTTTTACTGTTTCACACATGCGCCTTCTGTATAATAAAGATGGGTGAATAAATCAGACACAGAGCAGCAAAAAAACAATGTGAATATAAATTCAGAATTATTACAGACGGGTATCCCAGTTGGGCTAACTTCTTGTTGATAACCTTGTTAATAAATAAGGCTGAAATTCAAAGCAATGCCATGTTGTTTTGATTAGATTCCAATAGATTCCAACTAATAATGCCAAAAAGGAAATATCTTGATAAGAAGGGTGAGAAGAGGGATAATTTGGATGGAAAAATAGATGGAAAAGGGAAATTGAGAAAAAAAAGGAAAGCAGGCAATAGAATACAGCGCATCTGAAGCTTAAATTCTGTGTGTTATAAAAGAAAATGCTCGTTTGTTGTTGAATAGTACTAGGCATATTGCAAAACTGAGGCAAAACTACAGTTTTGGAAATAAACAAAGCCTGCTTTTCACAGTATGTCTATATTTAGGAAGTGGTTTTTATTTCAAGAGCTTAAAGTAGTAGAAATTCCATAGATAGGTCCAGCCAGATTTATAGCAGTAAATCCCAAGTAAGAAAAGGAAATAGCAGTAGTATTAGTAACAATGGCAGAAAAGCTGGAAGGACAAGGGAAATGGCCCATATCCAGTCAACTCATAGATGTTCCCTTCCATGCAAGTAAACCGGCTACTATTTACCGTCTTGAACTTCTGCTTCCTCATGACTGGTGAAGGTAGAGTGAGTAGATGGGTAGTTCCTTACCTGACCAAAGCAATGAGCAGTCTTTCTATCCACAGAGGCAATGCACCATGTTTTCTTAGCACTGAAGAGCTTTTATTATGCATTGAAAAATTCTAGAAGAGAACAGCAGGAGTCCCCATGGAGTTGCGTATTTAAACCTTACAGCTCAATAACCATTTGCAATATAACTGGGTTTTGAAATTTGTTGTTGTTATTCGTGCTCTTTCAGTTGAAGAAGGAGATGCTTTATTGTTGCTTTGTTTTCTTTTGTTTTTTTTTCTTAGGACTGTATGATGGTGGGTCTACATACATGTGGTGATCTTGCTGCAAATACACTACGAATTTTCACTGCCAAGCCTGAAATCAAAGCAGTTTGCAGTGTAGGTTGCTGCTACCATCTGTTGTCAGAACAGTTTGAAAACCAAGAAGGTAATTCTTCAGCTTAATTTGTGGCTGCCAGTTTGTATGTTGAGAGTATGATAACTTCTAATTAATAACCTCCTTGTGTTTGTTCCTTTCCAGTGGCTTATTTAGTACTGGTTTTAATTAAATTATGTGGGTCATTCACTTCCGGATGCTCTGTAGCTTTTCTGTTATGCCAATATTCCTAATAGTCTTACTGAAATTAGGGACATTAATGTAGAATGTTTTTTATGTGGTTATGAATACAGCTGGTTTTAGTCTATTACTTAACTTGTAAAATGTGGAGGCTTTTTTTAGTCCAGTATGTTTTCATCCGTTTGAAATATTTCGTACCAGATTTTGCCGTTGGCTGTCTGCATGCAATATCCATTTATGTTGAGTTGTACATATACAACTATGAGCAGGATTAATGCTGCTCTTTAACAGTTAGCTGTTCAGGCAGCTAAGGTGCAGCTCCAGTCTGACCACGACACATGGTAGATCTTGCTTGCTTCAGTGATCTTTTCATGTTGTTTTTATCTGGCTTTGCAACAATTTTAAGAGTTTTTGCAGTGTATTAGCTTCAGTTACTTCACAGCGCTTCTCATCCCAAAACCAAAGAAAAATAAAATACAACTGACATTTCTCAGTTACAGAAATGCAATTACTAAAAAATTTACAATTCCTTTTAGATAAGAGTTTTTTAAAATTGTTAACTTTTCAGGTACTTGTCATTAAGTATGTGTGTATGAAACATTTGGCTGTTTCTTATTATTGCAAAGAGAACACAACTTTCTGTTTGTAGTTGTAGGATTATTTTTTCTAGACCAGTGCATAAGGCTTTACTAAACTATTGTTACTCAGGCACTACCAAAAGATCAGGTGTGATAACCTGTTTCTAAGTTCAAACAAACAGATGTACATGCATGGTGGTAAGAGATACTGCAGTTTCATAGCAGCATGTAAATGAAGACAAATTGCATGTTGGAATTTCTAGCTGTTTGATTTTTCTCAGCTTGAATGATAAAATCACTCTCTGTGAAGAACCTTTAGACAGACAAAAAAGAAAATGTAGTATTCTTTTTTTTTTTAAGGGGAGAACACATAAATAGTTCCAGTAATACTAAAAAAATTGGTTGATTTTTTTTTTTTTACTATGAAGGTACATATTCTAAAATCTATAATGCTGTTGTATTCTCCTGAAAATGTTTTTTTTTTCATAAATGTATGGTGGAGGGGTAAGAGCACAAGGACTGACAGTATCTTAAAAGCTAATACTTCTTGAAAGAGAAAATGGGAACGAATTCAGACTAAAGCTTGTATCTACACTTACTATGCATGGATTTCAAATTGACAAAGCATTGTAGAGGATGCTAGAGGACTCTGTAACTAACCAGATGGTATAGATCCAACAACTCACTTGTAAAAGAAGTAAACTCATTCATCTTGTAGCTGTCTGAGACAAGTGGATTTTGGTACTGCTTCTGAAATAGACTAAATGCTAGAATCAGGATTGAATAATTGTCGTGGTTTAAACCCAGTCAGGTAATTCGTTCGCTCACTTCCCCCCCTTTCTTGCCCTCCCCCTGCTCTTGGAGGGACGGAGAGGAGAATCGAAAAGAATGCAACTCCCACAGGTTGAGATAAGAACAGTTTAGTAACTAAGGTATAACACAGATCACTCTGCTACCACCAATAATAACAATGATAAAGGAAATAACAAGGGAAGAGAATACATCATCTCACCACCAGCCGACCGATAACTCGCCCCCCCCCAGCCCGACCAAGAGCCCTGCAGTCCCCCAGTGCTAACTCCCAGTTACCTCCTGGGCATGACGTGCTGTGGTATGGAATACCTCTTTGGTCAAATGGCAGAGCATGAGGCTCACAAAGTCCTTGGCCAAACCAAAACATCCTTGTTATCAGCTCTCCCGAGCTGAAAGTCAAAACACTGCACTACACCAGCTACCAAGAAGGGGAAAAATGACTGCTACTGCTGAACCCAGGACAATAATTTAACTTGGAAGTGGCTTCTGGAGGTCAGCTGGCCCAGATCACAGTGCAAGACAGTGTCAAATCAGGTTGTTCAGAGCCTTGTCTAGTCATGTTTTGAATACCTCCAAGGACAGTGGTTCAGCAGCCCTTTACAATGTTTGCCATCACCATTAAGTTTTTTTTCTCATATCTATTCACAATTTTCAACTCTCATGCATTATCTATTGTATTTTCATTGTGCACCTTCAAGAATAGTCAGCCTTAATCTTTTCTGTTCGCTTCCCTTTAGGTAGTTGAAGACAGCAGTTAGATATCTCCTTGACCGTCTCTGCAAGCTTGTAGTCCTCTTGCCACCACTGTAATCCAGTAAATCAGTATGGTGTGTTGGAGAGCCCAAAGAAGCACTCTAGATATGCTCACAAGTGCTAAAAAGGGGAAATAATCACATCCCTTAACCTGCAGGCTTTACTGTTAAGCTTCAGAGTCCTGTCAATTTTCTCCTCATCTTAGAGTCTACCAGAGTCATATCTTTTCAATCTGTCTATAAAGATCGTAAGGTAACCTTGCTGAAGGTCTCACTAAAATCAAGGCTCTCCCTTACTTCATGGAGACAGTTACTGCATCACAGAAGTCAATAAAGTTTGTCAGTGCTTGGTAGATTCCTGACAGTTATTCTCCTTCTTGTTCATTATGGGCCTGGGCATGGTTTCCAGGAAAATTTATTCCATAACCTGATTGAGAACTGAGGTTAAACTGAAGATGGGTGTGATGTTTACCTTCTTCCTGTCACCAGGAACTGCCCCTGATGGATGTGACTTTTCAAAGATGGTAGAGCGTGGCCTTTGTGTGACACCAGTTGGTTGCCTCAGCTTCCTGAAATGCATCCCATATGGTCACATGCAGTTGTATTTCCAGTTTCCTTTTGTTGTCCCTGAGACAATATAATCTCTATTGTAGGTAGTCCTTCACTTGTCCAGGCTCTGACACTAAGTTCAGGGAAGCTACTGACTAATCTAGACCAAAAACAGAGATTGAAGAGACATGTAGAAGACCCAGATGGAGAGAGTAGTTTCAGTATTAGGAAGCAGCCTTAGAGCTAGATCTCTGCAGTAATGGGTAAAAGTTCTTCCTAAGAAGCTGAGAGAACTGGGGAGAATTTGCTGCAACGCAGGAAATCACTTACTTGTTTGAAATCAGTCCAAGCAAGGCAAGCAAGGGCTTGCCTGCAAGGACACAGTGGGAAGTTCTCTTATAAAGCATTTTATACTTATTTTATCTTGACTTTGCAGCTTTGAGACTTTGAAGTTTTTTTTTTATTTTTTTTTTGTTTGTAAATGCCATTGCTCTATTTTTTATTTAATTTTTTTTTTTTGTCCTGTTTAAAAGCTTTCTTATTTTCTTGAGGTTTGTTCCCATAAGGACAAGGTTGAAGCAAGTCCACCTCAAAACTCCCCCCCGAGTAGCACATTTTCCATCTTTGCTGCTTCTTTAATGTAAAAGTAGCTGGTTGTTCTCATAAGTCTAGTTGAAGCAGATGTGCCAGCTCACAAGCTGCTGTGGACTGATGGTTGCCATAAGTTGAGATGGCTGGGCTGTATGTTGTTTGGCAGTTAAGTTTTATACAGTACTAAGGTCAGTCTTGTTTGAGGCCAGTGAAAAATTGCTTTTTCACTTCATATTAACCGGAATTAACTGGTATTCATGAGAAGAAATGTTACCTGTTTTGATGCCTAACCTAATCTTTATAAGTCTGAGGTGGTGAATTGACAAAATATCAACAAAATCTTATTATGCTATTTTTGGCAGGATATTCAGTCACCTTGGTTATCACGTTTTGGGTTTCTTGCTTCGGAGGAGTTGACTACAGGGAATAATGCCTTACATTTCTTATATACTCTGAAAATAGTAAGGATATTACAAGACTGCCTGATTCAGTTTACCATTGGACCCACTGTGAATACTCTGGGAGCATTTCTGATGAAAGTGGTTCCCGGTAGTCAAAGTCTGGAATATTGCAATCATTATACAGTGTCCTTCTATGTGTCTCTAAATAAGCTAAATTCATCAAGAAATTTTTGTAATGAGACTGCATTTCAAATTATGCGGGGAATAATTTTAAACTCTTAAGATCATGAAAGCCTTTGTTTTGATTTATTAGTAATTACAACAACTAAGAGGTGCTGTGTAATGTCAAATTCCAATTCAGTATTAAAAAGCTGAGGCCAGTGACTTTTAACACCTGTCTTTAAATTTCACTGCTGTTATAAGCTGCATCAAATACTAAATTTCAGTTAATGAGGACTATTATGACAGCTGTTGGAAAATTCTAAGTAGTTTTTCTTTGGCTTTCTCTAAGGAGAATTGGCTGTTTATACAGAGATTCTTCTATGGATAAAATGCATTTAGCCATTGATATAATTGATTCCTTTGGGGTTTTTCTTCACTGTTACTGCATCAGATAGTCAGTTACATCAGCGTAGTAATGATTTTACTATTTGAGACTTTTTACATAAACCTATTTACATAGTGAACCATTATGACAATTTTTCTGGAAACAGTCCATTTGCTAGTGAATTAAAACAAACTCCATGCCTCTGTTCAGGAGCTATTGTTAGGATTTCTGAGAGCTGTTTTATCTTACAGTTAGGTAGTACATTTCTGGGGCAGTGTACCACCTGGACTATAATTATCCCTTAACAGACAGTAACTGCAGATTTAAGATGTATTCAAAAAGACTTGACTTTCCTTAGAAAGGAATTGATTTGTTTCAGTATTCTAATTCTCTTTCTTCTGTCCTCCAAACCACTAAACACATCAGTGCCAGTATAGAAACCAATAAAATTTTTCAATATTGTATCCTCTGTTTTGAGGAAAAAACACATGAGCATTACTATTGCTAAGGAGCTACTTATTTATAAGTATTTCATAATTTGAAATAAGACATCAGTGTAGTTGTATAGGTAGCTTCAATGACAGATGTCTGATAGAAACCTTTTTTGAGGTTAGCATGAGTACTGCAAATCACAAACTCC